ACATTCGTAGTTTATTAAATGTTAAGAGACCCTCAGACGCTGTTTATTGCAAGATGTTGCGTTTTGCCCCTGTGGGGTTTAACTTGTTTTGTTTTGTAGAACCTACATTTTGTTTGTCTGGTTTCTACCTCCTCATTACAAAGGGTTGTGTTTTTGTGTAATTGAGTTGTGTCCACTCCTTGTTGTTTTGCCCCTTGTCCTTATTGCTTTCTGGCTCCAACGTTTCCTTCTCCTCTCCATCCACCTCCCGTAGCTAGATGACGTCTGACTCCAGCACGCATTGCTGGGTGTACTCCTTCACCAGCTCAGCGTTCAAGATGTTGCAGCAGAATTCCATCATGGGCTTCCAGAGTGGGGGGTCCAGGAACACCTGGCACATCACGTGACCCGTCAGAGTGGCAATGTGGCGCTGCAGGTGGCACAGGAACTGCTGTCGGACAGGATCCAGTTCCTTACCGAACATGTCAATGTTCAGGGAATACCTGGTTGAAAAGAAGTGTCCTGGTCAATTGAGTGAAAATGCTTTCTTGTTCTACAATAACTTCTGGAAGTCTTAACCCTCCTGTCGTGTCTGTTAGTCCCCCCTTACTTTGGTGTTCCCGGGAAAATGTGTCCGTTCTGTAACTTTAACTTATCTTACATTGAAACAAAAGCCATTAGAAATCACCACATTTTATTTAACACCCTGTTAAGATGCAAACAATGTCTCAGACTTCTGGTTTACATGAATGGGTGTGTATTATCTGATGGATGAACAGACTCTAGAGTTACCCATTCATTTCCTATGGTGGTCATTTTTGACTCGGAACACCATCATTGTTACAAAGTTAATTAAACCACTCAAAATTGAAAGAAAGTGGTGATCAGCAACTTTATATGTTCAAATGCCGACTGTGGAGGATATCCTAAGGTCTTGACGCAATCAAATATAAAACACAATATTTATGATTGATGAAATAAGTAATCATTCCAATTTGATCCGAACATGAGAGGAGGGTTAAAACCACTATGTATATAACAAATTATCAAATCTGGCACCAATGGTATTATTGTAAGACAACATTATTGCATATTTTTCTGCACAGTAGTTGTCCCTGAATTGAAATTATTATAATAAGAAAGAAAGAAGAGTTACCAGTCATCTCCAATGGGCACCCTGATAGGGAATGTACAGAGGCTGGTCACAGTAGGGTTGGCCACATCATCGACCATCCAGTCGATGTCCTTCTTCAGTAGAATAGCCATGTTACTGGGTAGAAGCTTGAATGGCTGCCAAT